TCTCTCATATATGAATTTTAGACATAGATCTGGGGAGTGCCAGCCTACATTCCCATGGCCAGAGAGGCGGGGAAACAGAAACTTCATTGAGTGGCTGATGGAAGAAGAGTCAGACTCCCATGGTTAAGTACTCAGCTGAACTCAAGAAAGCCAGTAACAGAGAGGGAGGACTGATGACCAAAGGGATTAAGACTGGGCTGATGTAACCCCCAGAAACAGCTGACCTGACAAAGGTTAACTCTCGAATCCCAGGCATCAGCCTGGGAATCCAGCATGGGACTGATCAAGACCCCCTGAATGTGGGTGTCAGTGAGGAGGCCTATGTAATCTATTGAGCCTTGGGCAGAACTCATCCCGAGTATACACACGGACATTGGACTCCATCCAACAATGTGAGATGCACTCTCACCCTGAATTCTTGAGGGAGGGTCTAGGCCCTGCCCTGGATGAAATAACAGACCATGGACACCCCCATGGAGGGCCTCACCCTCCCTGGGGAAATGAGGGGATATTGAGGGGGCTGCAGGGAGGGCACGGTAGGAGGTGAGGGAAAGGGAGAGGGACATGGAACTGACTTGTGAAGCAACCTTGTTTCTAATCTAAATTAAAAAAAAAACAAAAAAACTGAAAACTAAATAGAAAAAGAAAAAAATTACAGATACAATATAATAAAAAAATCAAAAAACCTAATGCGAGCCTTTATGGTCGTATGTTTCTTGCAAGTTCACTGATATTTAACTACTGCTTTTTTTTATTTTGGTTGTTCGAGACAGGGTTTCTCTGAATTGTTTTGGAGGCTGTCCTGGAACTAGCTCATAGAGATCTGCCTGCCTCTGCCTCCCAAGTGTTGGCTTTAAAGGCGTGTGCCACCAATGCCCAGCTAACTACTGCTAATACACAAAGATGTCTTTGTCCTCTATTATGTTTGAAAGCAATGAGTAAATTACTCCTACCTTACAATGTCCATCATTCACAATTGTGAGAAGAATGTAAGCTACTTCAATGTGAGCAATATATACTCTACCCTTTTTTTACTGAAGCACCATTGGTGGTGTACAAAATTTGCAAATATCACATTTTTCTCTAATATAGAATTTTTTAAGTTTTATTATTTCCCATCTACTGTGTTTTCTATTCTGCTAGATCTGAGATTCAGGTGACATAATATTAGCTGTTACAAACAGTGACACAGATCTTTAGTTGACTATTAATGTTCATGAGATTAAAATGTAATTACATCATTTTACTTTTCTGTTTCCTCACATCAATCCTGCACACCAAGGATATTGCCTTGCTGTCTCGAATTGAGTTTCTCCTCGTTAATATAATTATTTACAACGTTCTTTGCATATTCTATATTACTTGCTTAAATGGATTTTATTGCAGACTCCTTAGTTTTGCACAGCCAAATTGGCACATTTTTAAAAACAATAATTAAATATTATACAATATTAATCTTAACTTTTTTGTCTTGGCAACTAATTTTTGCACCAGCAAAGATGGGAAATTTGGGTGTGTTCAATAAATTACTGCCACATCATAGCAGATATAGAGGCTTTCCTTAAGCTTCTCCTAAATTGAAAAAATTTATGTTTCATGGAATCTAGTAATTTTATAGAGGAATGAAATCACTAGTCATTTATATGAGCTAGTTGCTCAGGGAATTGACATATGTATTTTTATAGTACCTTTTTTGAAAGATTTGTCCTGTGACAGTGTGTTTAGGAAATTGTTTTAAGACCTTATTACTGAACTCAGTTACCACTCTTTCTTGCTTGGGAATACTTCACTGTCTCTATATTAAGTAGTTTTTGGATATTTGATTGTATCTTACTGGACCATCCCGTGAATCACTTAGATAAATAATATATTTTACTTCAATTGCAACAACAGTATACTTTAACCAGAGGCACATCCTTCTTTACACCTTGCTGCTACTTTCATACAACAAGCTATCCTGGGATTTAGAAAATTGGAATAATCCCTAATCATGACAAATCTTGTGTATATGTTTGTGTGTGTAAAATATTCTATCTATTTAGAAGAAATGATGTTAACAGTTACTTTTTATAGCAGATAAGATTATTTATAACTCTTTCTGAGGACCTGGAGCTAGTTCTGGACAATCATGTGTTGAGTCATACCTCTTAATGACTCTAGATCCAAGGTGTTCTCTTCTGTCCTCTCTAGGCACTAGATGCATGTGGTACACATTCATGAACATAGGCAAAACCCACTCATAAAATAAATAAAACATAAAACGTTTAGACCTAAATAATGCCACCTGATTTGGTGATACTGTGCATTATGAATGTGAAACATGACACAATATGCCACCATTAAGTTTATTTATCTCACATTCATTACCAAAACAATAATAAAAATAGCATCCATATGCTGACTGATTTTTACTATTAAATGAACTCCATTGAAGAATGGATGCATACTTGACCTGTTAAAAACAACATAATCATGTTGAGTATTAATTTGAAAACGTGAAAATAAGTAGTTTCTGGAATATTTAAGTAACTTTCGAACAGCAAAATTATTTATTTATTTATGTCCTGGAGTTTGAGTGCAAGGCTCAAAGAAGACAAGCAAGTTGTCGATAACACAGTTGTATACAGCACAGACTTTAGGTAATATTTTTAGGCAACATGTTGCCATTGGTGAGGTATTAGGTTACTTAGGGAGTATTTTGTCTGCTATCCATATTCAGTAGTTAGTATAGTTGACTGTGTAATAGTGTATAGACATGTATAGATACAGATATGAAGATAGATATGAAGAAAGGATTATGAAGTTCATGTGGGGAGTGTCAAGGGAATTGGCAGAAGATTTGGACATGGATAACATAAATGCATACATGTATGAATTTACAAAATAAAATGAATAAATCTTATAAAGATTGAAGTTAGCATTAAGCTAAAGTATTAAACACAAAAAAATAAGAAAGAAAATTTTCTTTCCTGTCTTGATGTACTTTGGTTTGGTTTGTGGCTTAGAGTGAGCTAAATGTTTGTATTTTCCTGATAACATTCCTAATACTATTTTTCCACTTGAGTAATTTATGGTGTTTCTCATGAATCATTTTGTCTAATATGATCTATTTCCACAATATAGTAACATTTGTGGGGCTGTTTAGACACAGTTTCTCAGTTTCATGGCCAGACTCTCCTGGAACTCTTATTGTATAATAGACTGGCCTCAAACAAACAGAGATCCATCTGTCACTGCCTCTTAAGTTCTGGAATTAATTTAAGACCTGTACCAGTACAAAACTGCCCACTATAAGGATCATTAAAAGACGTTTTCAAACTCTTTTCTTCTTCTAACCCAAAGCTACGTCTTTCAGGTGAATTTGGTAGGCTCCAGAGTTTCTTGGGAGATTGCCAAAGAGATTTCCCTCTCTTATTATGGAAGAAATAATATAGTCATTATGGTTGTGACAATATTGTTTTAGGCCTGCAAATCTTGTTAACAAGTAAGCAGAAGACTCATCTAGAACACAAGGGTGTTGATCAATCACTCACTCAGAATGCAAGCGTAAAAATCAGTGGTTTCTCCAGAATAAACAGTTTCACTAACGTTGTAGATGAACATAGTTAGCTCAGCATGTGTCTAAGATTCTGCATGCAAATCTTCACAAATCCTGTCAACATGACCAAATGAACACAATTTTCACTTCTGAGAATCTACTGCTCTGTGAATTCCATTAAAGTCATTTAAGTTTCCATAAAGGATTGTAAGACTAGAGGGAGAGAAGGATTGGTGAAGTAATAAAATTAAAAAAGAACATTCAAAGAACAGCAAATTCAGTTTCTATGAAATAAGGCTCAAACATTATGCATATTTATGGATACATTGGTAACTAGAGCTTCTATAATTTATTTTTGTACTTTCAAATTAATATCGGCAAAAATGTAAAGAAATATGCATGTGTAATTACAAACCCTAAAATTATCTTTAAAGACTGTTACAAAATATAGTAAACAATTTAAAATTTTCATTTGTCCCTCATGCCCAAGTACATAATATATATAAAATAAACAGAGCGAAGAAAAGAATGAACCTCATGTACCCTAGACACCAGAGCATTCATAGGCCTGCAAAAGTCAGAGAAAGAATGTGAGCTTGTTGATACTTGAATGTCCATAGAATATTGGCTACAGGAACAGGGACTTTCTCACATGCAATTGTGAACTGATAGAGTATTACCTGTGAAAAACAAAGACTCCTCTTGTAGGTGTGGCTAGGCAGCTATTCTCTAGTGTACTGCTCATAGAAGGTACATGATATACCTAGAGGATATTTGTAGGTTAAACTGATTATGTATTTTGATCTTGAAATGTATGTCTTGTGTGAAGTCTCCTGCTAACATCACAGGGAACTGGGAAATAAGGAAAAACTGTGGGCACAACTTTCAGTAGGACAGAAATAAGGGAGTCTCTCAAATGTAGTTGGCTGATGTGTAAAGTGATAAGGAGGGCCATCTTCCAGAAGTAACTGAAAGACTTGGTCTATAATCACTTTACTTATGGCCACATACTCTGGATTTCACTCACTCATGCTCAGAAAAAGAACAGCAAAGAATAATTGCATGCTGAATGATTTATTATAATGTTGAAAGTATACTTACAACATCATTATTCATTGCAAATGACATTAGAGGTATCTATCTTCAACTTCATCTGAAACAAATGAATAGAAAAACAAAGATCAGGGACAAGAAAATTACAATGTGCAACATTTCTTGAAGTATCTCTGTTTTCTATGGCTTTCTATTTCTGTTAAAGTTAAGGCATATGATGCAGAGCGATTTTAGATCACAGGAACCATAGACTTATAGGTTATATGAGGAATTTAATACTTAGAAGTATATATGATTCATGCCTTTAGGAAGAGGTTGCTGATCTGTGTAGTCTGAGCGTTGGTGTGAAGGATAATGCATCTGATTACCTTTGCACTGCCATGGAACCTCTTGGTTATACATAAAAGATCTACAGGGAACTTGACTCTTCCTCACTACCCTGCTGGGGTGGGCCTTGTTGATTTCCAGGTTTAGGAGGGCGATTCTGTTGCTGGCCTTCCTGCTGGGGTGGGCCTTGTTGGTTTCCAGGTTTAGGTGGGTGGTTCTGCTGCTGTCCTTCCTGCTGGGGTAGACCCTGATGTTTTCCAGGTTTAGGAGGGCGATTCTGTTGATGGTCTTCCTGCTGGGCTGGGCCTTGATTGCTACCAGGTTTAGGATGGCGATTTTGCTGCTGGCCTTCCTGCTGCGGTGGGCCTTGCTGGTGTCCAGGTTTAGGGGGACGATTCTGCTGCTCTCCTTCCTGCTGGGGTGGGCCTTGCTCGTGTCCAGGTTTAGGTGGGCGATTCTGCTGAGGGCCTCCCTCTTGGTTTCCAGGTTTAGGAGGGTGAGGTTTCTGGTGGTCATCTCCTTGTTGTGGTGGTCTGTGTGTTGTGTTTTCATCTTCGTCACCATCATCATTACCATCTTCTTCAGATGCAGAAGGTTTTGGGGGTCTCTGAAGAGGCTGAGCAGGGCCTTGATTTTGCTGCTCTTCCTCTGCAATGGTATAAATCAATATAGGAGGTGTTCAAATTTTCTCTTTCTCCAAGATCACACTCCTACCTCTATGTCCCTGGTTCCACTTGAGCTTCATTTTATATCCACTACATAAACTTTCTTGTCTATCAAGTCTTTGGAGCAATTTTTTCTCTAAAGTTTGGTACATAAATGGTGATAGGATATTCCTGAGAATTCCCAGAGAGAAGTGAAGAAAACTCAAGTGTTTGTAAATGTTATAGGTTAAAAGTTACCAGAATAAATAACAAAATTTTGACAGCAATGCTCTTAAATATATCATGGTGTTCAGGTTCCAGTTTTAATGTGGACTAGAAAGAAATGTAGAATTGTGATGAAAAGATGTTTCATTCAGTTTTTATGTATTGTCTTTTTATGTATTATTCAGGATGAGCATATGCTTGTTTTCTTAGGATCACTGGTGAAAGTTTGCCATGGAGAAATTTAAATGGTGATACCCTATATTATCATCTTATGCAAGACATTGCTGCAATCTGTGTAAGAGACACAATTTTCTTCTCATAAAAATCTGGCTATCCCTCCTTCCATTGTATAATCCTACTCTAGCTTCTATAGGCAATGATGGGAAGTTGTCTTATATATCGCAGGGGAAGCTATAACAAATTAATTTCATGAAACAACAAAATGATACAGAGACTTTACAGAGTCAAATATTTAAAACACTGAAGAATGCATAGAAGGTCTCTGGAGGATTAATGTGGCTTTACCTGGGATTTGCGAAGGAGAGTCTTCATAGATGGTTGCTAGGAAATAAGCACAAAGAAAGTTTAAGGTTAATTATGACCTTTTCAGGCTTCCCAGTTAAGAGGATTTTCAACTATATTTTCACATCCACCAAGTAGAATTTTATTCTTAGGTAATGTTGCTGATAATGCTGCCAGAATGTTTTCTATGATCAGGATCAACCACTATTTGGTTACTTATTAGCTTTCTCTTTCTTACTCTTATTCTTCATGTATGATCTGGGAATTTTTGTATTTCAGTAGAATTTTATTTTGTTTTTTTTCCATTGATTTCTTATTTAAATTTGAAACAATGTTATTTTACATATCTATCCCATTTCGTTCTCCCACCCATTCTCCCATGCCTTATGCCCTATGCAATCTCACACACTCTCCATTCCCAAGGGAGACTGAGGTCTTCAATTGGTAATCATCAATGACTATCACATGGTTTGGGCTTGATCTTAGGCCCTAGCAAGTGTATTAAGTTGAGAGAGTAGCCCTCTATAGAGAAAGGGCTTCCAAATCCATTCGTGTACTAGGATGAAATTTTGATTCCACTGTAAGAGGTTCATAAAATGTCCATTACTCCTAACTCTCACAGAGGTCAGTAGGTCTGGTTCAGTCCTTTGTTGGTTCCCCAGCTGTCTGGCTGGTTTACATGAGCTCCTAGGTGCTCCTGCCATCTAATTCTGTAGGTTTCTCCAGCATGGTTTTGAACAGTGCTCATCACTACTCCACCTCTACAACTGGTTTGCCTTATTTATATTTTTCTTTATCACCTTCACTTCCTATATGATATATTCACAGGCATTTTATGCAATGAAATGAGAATAAACATTGTTTCAAATACTATGTATAGAAAAATGAATACTGACTATGCAACATTAAAATTGAGAAATAGGTTCAGCTATGTATCTCAGTGGGCAATTTTGCTTGGTCTATGACTTGAAATAAGCTTCAAATATGAATATCATGTTAGAAAGACTAATCTTTCTCCCTATATATATCATCTGACTGGAATTTGAATATATGTGCTCTCCTGCTCTCTCTGTCTGTATGTGTTTGTCTATATGTTCCTCTCTCAATCACATATACACCATCTCACAGATAATTGTGCATGTACACATGCATTGAAATAATTTATAAATCTCTCTTTCTATGTGTATGTGTGTAGTTGTTTGTAGTCCTCTGACTGGAATGTAATAAGCATGCAAACTGTATCTCTCTTTATCTATATCTGTATCTATATATTCATTCAAGAGATTATGCATGCACATCTATGTACTAAAATAATCTTTAAAAGGAATTATTCCCTGATATTTCAAGCTCATTTTGTACAGAGTTTCAAATTCTTTATCTTTTACATTTCTCAAAAACATCTCCGGTATATGTTTATTTCCTTCATTTTTCTCTATCTTCCAAACACCAAAGTTGGCATCATTCACCCCTGCTTCTCATGGCACCTTAAGAACTGTGTTTCCCTCTGTCAACAGATTACCCTCTAACACACTATCTTCCATCATCCACCAACAAAAATGAATTTTCACAAATGCACACATGTTGTTTTGTTTCAAGTCGATATTCTTAATTATAGTTTAAGTAATGTATAAGATCAACAGGCAAAATAATAATATAAATATTCTATTATTTGTTCTCCTCTTTTTTGCCTCAGTTTCTTGTTCATCTTTTTCCTTTCCTCCCAGTCCTGAACTTCAGTTCTGTCTTCCAAGTCTCATGTCACTGTACCACCCTTTCCCCTACTTGTTACCTTCATTTGAGCTCTGAACCGAGCTCAGGGCATACAAGGCCGCTGTCAGTAGGACCACCAGTATCTTAGAGGAGGCTCTGGAGTTGCTCCCAAGTCTGTGCTGGGGTCAGGAAACCACAGTCTTTATAAGGAAGGCAGAACAATGGCTTGTTTCAGGTCCTCATTGTTGATCTGACCTGACATAGCAGGATACTTTGCACCACTGATATTTCTTTGGGATTCCAGATGAGCAGGATGCAGTGAGGAGGAGCTTATTAATGTTTCCGTTCTAAATGGTCAATGTGAAATTTTAACAGCAATATTTAAGTGATACAGGCAAATTTCAGACATTAGACACACAGTTCTCTCATTGTTCATGTCTATAATGTAAGATCTATCATTGTTTAAGTAATCGTTATTGACATAACTCTGACTCTGACCTATTATGTATGATGTTGGGAGGATTTTCTTCAAACTATCTGTATATTTTTGTCCTTATTCTTCTTTTCATTGAGGCTAAAGTCTCTCCTAGTAAGTGCACATTTCTATTAGATGCCTATAACAATTAGTTTTTTGTTTTGTTTTGTTCTGCAGGGATTCAGTACATGAAGCAGGGATGCATAATGAATGTGTCAAAGAATGACAGCCAATTTGGCCATATACAGGCTGTGCAGATTTCCCAAGATTTGGTTGACAGAAGAGAAACTCTGATAACATAATAGAAGATGGAATATTATGTTCTTCCTTGTGCCTTTGGTGTTTGATAAAGAGGAATGGCATTAGAGTACCCACGGATATATAGAACCATGTAATCAATGTGTATCTAGTTTTCCATGATTCATTAATGCGGATTTTCTCAGATACATGTAAACTTCAACTTTTTAATTATTGATTTTAAGACTGAATTAGATTATGTTATGGTATTTTGGGGTTAATTGCTTCAAGTATTATTATTATTTTATTTTAGCAGCATGCTTATTTACATATCAACCCACTCCTTCCATTGCTCTCCCATCCACATATGCTCCCCAGAAAGCCTCATCCTCTCCTCAGGGTTAGTGAGTCCATACACAGGAACACAATCATAGTCCCTCACATTAAGTGGAGGAGGGCCCAGGCTCTCCTTCACACATCTGAGACGCAGTTGTATCCCTTCATAGGGATAGGCTACCAAAGTCCTTTTGTGCTCCAATGATAAACATTGGCTCCACTGTTAGATGTCACATACACTGCCCAGGGCTCCTAGCTGCCACCTACATTCATAAGGCGTAGTTCTCTCCAACAGTGGTTCCCATGTTTATGACTAGAGTTTCTGTGCTCTCTCTAGGTCAGGACAACTGTGACATTGATCATTGATAGGATAGACACATGAAGAAAAACTGTGGCATCACCTTCACTGTCTGCATGGGTTGGGTTTCTTTGACTTATCTTAAACATGGTGAATCACATTTTCCATGATCTGATATGCAGTGCAGTGCTATTTTCCACCCTGACCTGTTGATGATTTTAAAAACATACAACCCACTGATTTGCTTTATCAGCGCCATCTCTCTGCCTCATACATTTGCAATAAATCCCTTGACGTAGGTTTTCATTTTAGGTTTTAATTTTAGTTGTCCTTTAGCATTCTTATGATTTGGATTCATTTCTTATATGCTGTTTTCTACCCATTTACCTTCTTATTAGGAGGCCAGATGTGAACCTCTTGTCTTCATGAGCATAGTTTCATTTTTCTCAAAAATATTAGTTAGTACATAACTAGGTATGGGTTACACCATTTTTACACCAGTACTTAGGGACAGAGGCAGGTGTATCTCTGTGTGATCTCAGCCAGTCAGGTCTATAAAGTGAGTTATAGGCTAGTTAGTTCTATTATCTAAGGAAACACTTCCTTGACCAACAAGAAAATTAATGGTTAGCACATGTTGTGTTTACTTAGTTATTGTTTGGATACTAATATTATTTATTCTGTAGTCCTAGTCTTTCCTCTTTCAGGTTGGAATCACTTGGCTTGGGAGGAGCACAACACAGTGTGTAAATAGCTGCATTTACATGTCTAAGACCATGGTTGCCTTTCATTATTGTCTATTTTTATTGGAGCTGGTGGAAATTGGAAGAGAAGTTGCATGAGTTAAATCAGGAAGACCTATGTAGTGTAATTTTATATGATCCATCATCCAGTGTGGAATACTTTCATCTGCTGGGCATATCAATAGACCTGACATTTCACTTCAAACACTATACAGGTTATCTAAGAAAGAAATTGACCAATAAAGTTTCCTTGTTACAGAGAAAGTGAAATTCTGTAGTGTTTTACACCTCTTTTTTTTTATTCTCCAGATTTATTTTGGTAAAAAAAACCAGATATAACCTTTCAAAAATTACATTAATGTTTAACATGCATTCAAATAACTTTCTTTTTTTCCAGTTTAGATTTAGATAAGAAACAAGGTTGCTTCACAAGTCAGTTCCAGGTCCCTCTCCGATTCCCTCCCCTCCTCCCGTGCCCTTCCCCCAACCCCCCTGTTATCCCCTCATTCCCCCAGGGAGGGTGAGGCGCTCCATGGGGGTGTCCATAGTCTGTCATTTCATATAGGGCAGGGCCTAGACCCTTCCCCAAGAGTTCAGGGTGAGAGTGCACCTCACATTGTTCTATGGGAGTCCAAAGTCCGTGTGTATACTTGGGATGGGTACTGATCTGCTGCCCAAGGCTCAATAGGTTCCCTAGGCCTCCTGACTGACACCCAAATTCAGGGGGTATTGATCAGTCCCATGCTGGATTCCCAGGCTGATGCCACACCTCTTATGGTGATAATAGTTGTATTATGATGGGTAGCATATTTATTTGCCTTTGATGATTTTGTCTGGTTCTAAAAAATCCAGAGACATTTTCACATTCACTTAAAGAATTGTAAAGTCAGAGAACAACTGACTGTTGCGATTTGGTCCAAATTATATTGACAGAATAATTGTCTAGTACTGCCTGTACAGTAATGGAATAATCTGGAGAAATGTGCTCCTGATCATGTATGGCTTTGGTAGACTTTGTCCAGGGTAGTCACAGATGGAGCAGCAGATAAAGTTAGGCTTCATTGTTAATTTGTGCACAGCTGAGGAACTGGCTGTTCTGGCAGAATCCATCCTTGTCATTTGTAGGTGGGACCTGCCAGAGAAAAGTTGATTTTTCCAAATATCACACAAGTAGAGCCCTTTTCTTGACCTTTTTCAGTGTTATCACTGTGTGCAAGAGATTATTATTTCATGCAAGAGA